GCCGCAGACAGTCTATTGCCTTCTTCCCTTGACCTTTCACCCTCCAGTAGAGAGCTGCCATGCTGGAGAGGACCCAAGAAGTCTGATTCTGAAAAAAAACAATGCAGCAGGGGGAAAAGAATTACACAAACCTGTACCAAACATTCTCCCAGCCCCACCTCCTCCCTCTACATTCCCACCAGATCCATAAGCAATGTTTTCCATTTAAAAATTAAACAGTATACCTTTACAAAAGGCAGCAGAAAAGAGTTTGTTGCCTAATAATGAGATATACAAAACAGCTAAGTTATTTAGGTTGCAAAGTCAAATGCCTGAAAATGCCAAATTTATGGTTGCTTCTGCAACTTTCATTGTGACCTGTTGTGCATCCATCTTGTACACTCTTGAGGCATGAGTCCTATGGAAGTATGTAATTAAGGATTGTAACAATGTATCTGCACCAGCAGGCCAAATCAGTGTTGCCAGAATTAAGGACAACCTTAATTCTGGTATTTCATAATTTCTGAGTGCTTGACCTAAAGAAAGAAGAGTTTAGTCACTCTCGAGTAACTATGGTCCTTTCAGATGTGTTGTCCACCTGGATTCTACTATTGGCATGCATACAATCCATGCATGTAAGATTGAATTCTCCTAGCCAGCAGTGTTTGTTGGGACTACACCTGCACCCTAGTTGTCATTATGCCTCCCCACCCCGCCAGCTGAAGGCACAAAAGAAAGAACAGGCCCAACCGTCCACCGGTTCCTTCACCAATACAGAATCCCAAAGGAGGAGGACTCCATAGTTGTGGGGAACGGGGTGGGGGAAGGGTATCATGGAATCCATATGTATTACATCTTAAAGAACCACAGTTACTGTAGGGTAGATAACTGAGTGACTGTTCACACAGATTTCACTCTTGGTAACTAACAAGCAGCTATCTGGCTGCTTCGAGATGGCTAGTCGGAGTCCTACTTAAACAAAGACGTCAGGACAGCCCTACCAAAGTGGGCATCTGATCTAGAAGCCTCTACCAAAGAGTAGTGGATCATTATGGAACTAACAAAGTCTAGGTTGTTCCAGGGCTAGTAGATAGTCCAGTATTGCTGAAATGAGTGATATCAAGACAGACCATTGACACTGAGATGCCCAAATAGGAAACCTCTTCCATTAACTTTATAACTGAGCCTGGTTCAGGGTTTCCTGCTTTGGAGCAGAATGTTCTGAACTTCACCTGATCAACTTCTTTTGGTGGATGTCAGTCAGACAGCAGATATAATGAAACTGGATCCAGGTATAAAATCTGACCATTGTTCTATGAGACGCACACACGCACATGCACACTATTAACCAGGAGTGAAAGTAACTTGAAGGACTTACCAGTACTCTGGAGTCCTGAGCAGGGGCATAGCCCCAATTGGAAGAGGCTGGGCCTTTAATGACTTAAAGGCCCCTGGATCTCTCAGCTGCAGTGGCAGCTGAGAGCCCCGGGGCGATTTAAAGGGCCCGGGGCTCCAGCCACCCCTACTGCAGCATAGCTCCGGGCCCCTTAAATCGCTGCCGGAGCCCCGGGCCCTTTAAAGCGCCACCCGAGCCTCACTGCCTGAGCCCCAGGTTAGCGGCAACAGGGCTCCAGCGGTGATTTAAAGGGCCCGGGACTCCGGCCACTGCAGGTTTGGTACGCCATACCAGACTGTACTGGCTTACTTTCACCTCTGCTATTAACTCAATAGCAGGCTTGCAGTGTTTGGATAGGATATTTGGCTAAGGAATAAAACTAGCTCATGGATGATCTGTGTTCTATGCTTAACCCAGCCACAGTCTTAGTGAGAGGCCTGTGGTAGACCACAGGGCAAATTCCTGGTTCACTTATTTGGGTGAAGCTCACTGGATTCAGTGGGAGTTGTAACTGTGTAAGAGAGGAGAATCTGGACATTAATCTCTCAATATTTTAGTTTCCTCAGCTTTAAAACAGACATAACAGTACTGTCCCTATTTGGCAGGGGTGTGCCAAGCCTCCATTTATTAATGTTTTCAAAGTTCTTTAAGATCCTCAGCTGGAAGCCAGTGAAGAAGAATGAAAACACTGCCCAGTACACGGATGATGTCATATGGGTTGAATACTTTAAACGTTTTATTTTATTAAAGTGATACGCACAGAGATCTGATGGATTCACCTCATGTTGTATAAGCACAGAAGGTGGGTCAGAAAAAAGTGTACAAGCAATTGTAGGTACTGCACAGAGACAGAACTCTCTTTAAACTATCATCCTAGACTGAGTTTCTAGACACATAGCCCTGAGGCTGGATTGTCAGGCAAGTAAAGAACAGGACACTATAAGACCCTGCTTCAATTTTGTTTGTCGCACACACATACCTTTTCCAAAACTTTGGCTATTCGAGTTCCGACTTGTTCTAATGACTGTGGTGAATATTGGTCTTTGCCAAGATTCTGTAATACCTGGGAAGGAGGAAAAGGCAGGTGCTTAGAGGATGGAAATTGACAAGATGAAATCAAGGAAAAACAAGTAAGAAAATGGCTTCTTAAAATCTGATGCTGTCTCCCAGCAAAGACCTGATCCCTCCCCTAAGAAGCACTCTGTGTTGCCTGCATATCTGGGGGCTTTTGTGCATGCTACAAATGCACTAGCTGGCAGTGAGAACAGGGCCCCTGAAGTACAATACTGAAATGTGGAAGACATGACAAGAAAGGATTCAGCATTTTGTGATCTGCTCAACATACATGGCAAACTTTTCTTTACATAACTTCGTTATTGGCAAAAGATCCCAGATTGACAGCTCTAGCGACTGTTTAGCCACAGAATAGATACAGCCTTGGCGGCAGTTGCTTTACAAATTTCCTCTCCAGTGTGTCTTAGAGAGACCACTTCTAGGAATGAGGAGGCAGTTCAGTGTCCAGGGACCATTTGATTCTCATCTCTTTTGTTTAGAAAGCCAACAAGGGAATTAACAATATGGCCTCTGAGCTACTAAAAAATGATGTGAGATCATCATAGGCTGCTGAATACCCATTCGATGGTAGTATTCATCCATTACTACCCATGAACAGTCAATCAGCGAGGAAAGGTTCATTAGCCTATTACAAATCCTTGGAACCATCCTATCCTTAACATAAACCTAATTGTCTCTTGATTCTTAAAATCTCAGATAGCCACCAAACTGCAGTGTGAAGACAGAAGTGTACCTCTTTTAGCTGACTCTCTCCAGTGTAATGCAGGCTAGCCCGATTGGAAACCCCTTGCAGATGGTCCAAGGTGTGCATACTGGCAGGTAGACTGGGGCTGCAAAGGGGCTCCATGGCTGGTTCTTGCAGCTGTGTGGCAAAATCGATGTGCTCTGTAATGCTAGAAAGGAATTAAAACAAGTTCTAAGTCATACAAGACCCTCCTGGTCAGGAGAAGGAGAGGGAGGAGTCAATTAACAAAAACAGCTTATCTAGCAGGTAAGTTTTGTTTGGATGCTGGCAGAACCTCATTTGGAGAACAGGAAGAATTTGACCTTCACTCTGAAGACAAAATTCTAAAACAGCAGCCTTCTTTGCTAACCCATTCTAGTTGATGCTTTTTAGATCTTATTAGATTGCATAACTAAGTGGTAGAGAAACAAGGTAGGCGAGATAATATCTTTTATTGAACCATCTTCTGCTTGCGAGACAGAAAGTTTTCGAGCTCACACGGAGCTCTTCTTCAAGAGTGGCCGTTAACCACAAGCTAGTTTCCTTACAGCAGCAGAGTTGATATAGGTCACCAAGGATGGAGGTATATTGGTAGTTTTTCTATTAGCACTTCATACACGTATGATTATACAGCTCACACAACCCACCCACCACCAACCTGGCTCAGTGTTTGCATTAGTTAGAGCAGGTTTTCAAATCCAAGACAGCTCACCCTCCTGTCTGCCTAATCAATAGGTTTTATATTCTCTTCTGTGAAGAATCCAAATACAAAGGGGACTTGCAATATTACAGAATGGGCTAGAAAGGGATGAGAAAAGGGGAAGGGAAATAGTCATTACAAGGAAAAACCACTCAACAACAGAATAAAACAAAAATTAAACTAACCAGTATGTAAATCAAAAAAACAAAATATACCCATGCAAACCCACAGCCCTTCCCCAAAGCCCGAGAAAATAGATGGCCTTTGCAGCAATCCCTGAATGTCAACAGATTCCGACCAAGGTGGGTATCAAGGTCCAGAGTCGAAAGGCTCTGCTGGAGAATGACCTGCTGACAGCTTCCTCTTTATTATATCACTGGGATCTAACTCAGCACCTCCATTGACCACAACTACAACACTACCACTCACAGGCAGCACTCTCTCAGTCCTTAAACACCATCTGGAAACCAGCAGGCAGCCCAGGTAAACCTGGGAGCATTGGTGTCGTGCTCACAAGATACTGTGCATAACAAATAGGCTGCAGGATTCCGCACAAGAATGGATTTACGGAGGAGGATCCCCATGTATATTGAGGTGACAGGGGCAGGGACAACAGTAACATGGTTTGTATTTGAGAGAAAAGATTCTTGCCAAGCACAGATAGAAAATAGCTGCCCTGTTCATTGCTGCTAGAGGACCGCCTGAAACAACTGAGGATCTACCACTACCCAAAAATGGCAAATGTGGGTGACCCACAGGGACGGACACCCTCAAAGCAAAGAACAAAGGGGCTGTCTCAGTCCCCAGCCCTGCTGTTGGCTCCATGTTAAAGACTCACCTTCTTGGATTGACTACCATAGAGGTGGTATCAAGATTGGCTGAAGCCATAGTAGAGTTGCCATTTGCTTTAGTGGGCCACTAAGATGTTTGGCATACGTACATAAGACCACCATATAGCCACCCTACCCCAATTACTTAAGTTCACATGCATGATACTCACTCAATATTTTTAGCAGAAACAGCTAGCCATGTGCTGGCTACAGTAGTGAACTCCACCCTCCGGAGTTTCAAACACTCATCAGGACTTGGCCAGCCCAGGCTGCGATAGTCGCGCCTTTTTCCTAGAAAGAAGCGGGTAATACAAGGAATTATCTTAAAAAAAAAAAAGAAGCAAGCTACAAAGATTCATTTTTAAAGATTTATAAAGCGTCAGATTTACACAGCACTTTACACATGTAGAGGCATGTGAGGTATTCCCTGTCTCAAAGAGCTACGACCTCAATCCTGCAATTGGATCCCTGTGAAAAGAGCCCCACACCTGTATGGAACCCAGAGGTCTGCCTATGGTGATCTGATTGCTGGACTGGAGCCTAAATAGGATATGACAGGCTACAATATGTATGTTTAAAAACCTTTTCATTAATACCTTTCCACATCTGAAGTTTAAGAATAATAATTCTCTGGGTTACACACAAAAAAAGCAACGTGTTACCTGCATTTGTGCACTTGAACTTTCTTGAGGTCAATTATTAAATAGAAAATATTACCAAGGAGGTGCTGAGCTTTCCTTGTCAGTTCTGCAGTTACTTCCAGAATCAATGCAAATATTTTTTGATTATTGTAGCTTCTGTTCTTCTTGTTTCAGGGTGAGATGGAATAATGTCAATATTTTTCAGGGAATAACATTATTATTGATCATGGTGGATGATAACTTTTACACCGTCTTGCTTGTGGATCTAAGAGTACTTTAGAAACCATTAAGAAATTAAATCTCGGAAATCCCCATTAGGTTGGTGAATATTATTCTTCCCATTTTACAGATGAGTAGATTGAGGCAGGGACATAATTTGTCCATGGTTACTCAGAAGATCAGTCACAAAGTAAGGAAGAAGACCAGTGGGCCAAAACCCACTGAAGTCTTTCCACTGACTTCAGTGCATTTTGGAACAGGCCCTAACATTTCAGATTTCCTGTTTTAATCACCAGTCAATACTGTCTCTTACATGGGAGTTTCAAAACAAGTGGAGTGTATATAAACAGAAAAACATTTTAGCCATTAAATAGCTCAGCAAGAGGCTAACTATGCTGGCCCTGTATGGTTCTCACTATTACAGTGCTTAATAACATCAACAATACTATGTAGAGAAAAAAAAAGCAAGCAAGCAAAGAACTAAATACATTGCCTAGGCAGCATTTCAAGATCTATTTCTACTTACTTGATTTTCTTTCGCCATTTGGATCCAAATCTTACCCCCTACGCCTGCATGAAAGTGCTTTCCCTTTATTTTTGCAAAATTAAAATAAATCTATTACATCAACTCATAGAAAACACTGATTAGAGGCCCGTTAAGGGAAGTTGCACTCAGTGTGTCAGTGGGAAAATTCATGCCAGGGTAATCATTTCTCAGCATGTTGGTACTGTGGAATGCATTTCACTTTTCGGTATTCAGTAGTTCACATGGGCATTTCTGAGCCCACCCTGCTGGTGGTGGTGGTGATCATCTCACTAAGGAATGATAATATATAACAAGAGAAAGGATGGTCTACTGGTTAGGGAGCTAGCCTGGGAAGTGGGACATCTGAGCTTATTTCCCTGCTCTAGCAGAGATTCCTACATGACCCTGGGCATGTCACTTTGCCTCTCTGTGCTTCAGCTCTCCATCTGTAAAATGGGGATAAATAGTACTTCCTACCTCGCAGGTGTATTGAGAGGATAAATACAATAAAGAATATGAGATGCTCAGATACTATAGTAACGGACACCATACAAATATCTATGACCGAGATAGCTAGATAATATTTGGGAGCTCAGCATTATGGGGGAGTGTAAGGTCACAGGTACAATCCAATTTCCAACCGGCTTAGCCTCAAGTAATCTTTACTGTTTAAATATTAAACAAATCCAAGTCTTCCAACTGCTAAAATGGGAGCTTATTAAAAGGTGCATACAGTAACTCCTCACTTAACGTTGTAGTTATGTTCCTGAAAAATGCAACTTTATGCAAAACGATGTTAAGCGAATCCAATTTCCCCATAAGAATTAATGTAAATAGGGGGGCGGGGTTAGGTTCCAGGGAAATGTTTTTTGCCAGACAAGACACACTGTATACATATACAATATAAGTTTTAAACAATTTTAAACCAACAGTTTAATATGGTACCCAGAAATGAATGATTGTAAAGCTTGGTTGAGCTGGTGGAGTAAGAGGGTGGAATATTTCCCAGGGAATGCCTTTTGGCTGAGCCCTCAAGTGTTAATACTCCACTGTTAACGTAGCTTCGCACTCTACAAGACAATGTGGACTGAGGCAGGAGGGAGGAAACAGAATAGATGCAGGGCAGTAGCTGCAAACACTTCCCTGCAAAAACTGAACTTGATGAACCCACGCTCAGCAGCTGGAGCGCACCACTCCCTCCTCCTGACAGCACATGCAGGGCTGCACAGGTGCTGACTTTCCAAAATGCTGGGGGGTGCATGCATGAGTGAGACACATGTGCATTGCCCCTTTAAGTATGCTGACCGCACTTCAAGTATGTTGCCCTTTTAAGCAGATCAGAAGCTTAGCTTCCTGAAGCTCCCCCCAAGCCCTGTCCCCTCCTCAGCTTTGTGGAGAGGGGGTACAGAGCGGGGGTGGGGGCAGGAACAGGGGGACATTCTGACATCAGCACTCCTCTCCCCCCCGTCCCCCAGCAAGCCCCAGGAGCAGCTTCAAGGGAGAGGGCAGGACAGGAGCAGCACGGCAGTCGGGGGAGGGACAGCTGAACTACTGGTAGGCAACTGCCGAGCCACATACCCTACAGGGAATTTAAGGGAGCTGATGGGGGAGGGGCTGCCAGCCCCCCCGGTTCTAATCCCCACGAGGAGGGGTTGCTCTTCCAGAGAATCCTGTAAGCAGTGGACAAAGCAGGCAGCTGCCAAACAACGTTATAAGGGAGCATTGCACAACTTTAAACAAGCACGTTCCCTAATTGATCAGCAACGTGACAACGTTAACCGAGATGACTAAGTGAGGAGTTACTGTATTAGAACCTTTGAAATGGCCTCCTAAGTCACAACGTCAAATCCACCCCAACTGATCAAAGTCAAAAAGTTTCCCTGAGCAGTGGCTCATTGACATGATATGGTCCAGGCATATCGGTTTCACAGCGAACAGTACACTAGGCAGTGATGTGGCCAGCATCATGTCCAACCACTTTGACTGTCTTAGTCCATTTTGCAGCTGGGTGAACTGGAGGTGGTCTTTAAGTCTGAGATTGAATTATACTCAAACCCACAACCTTCAGGATTGTAGTTGAGCACCTTACCCACTTGGCCATCCCATCTTTCAACAGGTCACCGACTAAAATTTGGTGCAATAAGACAGCCCTTTGCTTGAAAATACCAATATGTCTAGCATCAACTCTGCAACATTACCCAAGGACAACACAATCTAGACTTCATGTCTGCTGAAATCCTCCCCATACCTTCATTTCATCTCATCTTGACTATTTGAACTCTCTCCTCTATGGCATCCCCATGCTCCAGGTGCTTCAGATTCCAGCATGTGCAGAATACCACTGATGGCTCCTGTGGTGGATGCACACCTTCACACTTTCGTCAAGCCTATCTTACAGATCTTGCTTCTTTATATTTTCCTTCTGCTTTCCCTCTCTGCTCCCTAGCACAACCTTCATCTCTCTCTTCACCTTACTTCACCTCAGTTGGTGGAAGAGTCTTCTCTTCTGCAATTCCTGCTATCTGGAACAGATGTCTAGTCATTGTTTTAGGCCATCACCAAAGAAAACAGTAAAAATAAAAACTCAGCAGTACTTTGTGACTGGGACAATATCTGATTTTTGTCTCAGAGTGTAAAGACCTTGGAGCAGGGATCATTCATTATATCAAATGTATCTCATACTGTGTCTGTCACCGGGGTATCTGAACATACAAAAATGCTGTGCACTTCAATGACACCAGGTAAATTACTACTACTACTATTACTACTAACTTCTCCAGCTCATTATCTCTCTGGCTTCATTCAAATACTACCCCAAAACTTCTTTCCTCCCTTGCTTTTTCTCCTTTCAATTTCTCTCTCTCTCTCTCTCATTATTTTTCATTTTACCCCCGAAAGTGTTTTGAAAAACAGCCGAGGTGAAAGATGCTATACAAAACACAACTGTGCTGCACTCTAGAAATAGGGGCTCCTAGGAAAATGTTTGTGGGATAGAATTCTAATTGTGCCACTTATTCATATAGACCGAAATATACCTCTCTAATCTCACTATTATCCATCTGATGTATTAATACAATGGAATGTGAAGTACTGAGGGATTTGCTTTCCCTGAAAACAGTAATTTACCTGGTGGTCCAGGGGAGGGTATCTTTGGGCCACTGATCTCCAGAGCCATTTGGTACAGGTTTTCATCTTCAGCATTAACCCCTTCCTCTCCATTTCTCCCAGGGGGCTCCTGAAGATCCAAGCTTTCTGCTTTTGGTTTCTTTAAACGTTTGACCTGGAATGTGATCTGTAAAAGAACAACATTGTCACAGTTACCCCTACCAAATTATACTGTATTGCACAAATGAAATATATTAGAGGATTCATTTGTGTATGTGAGAGAAAATCCATTTAATTGCTACAGAACTGGAACACTTTCCTTTTAGTTCTGTTCCTAGCACCATCAAAATGGACATCAGGTATCTTCACACTAACTAGACCTTTTAGTTAATATTGTACCCTCCCTTTTATTATAATTTTTCACTGGGGGTAAAAGTCCAAGGCCAGTTAAAGCAGAATAGCATTTTGTTTTTTAGTTTTCTGAATGCATCAAGGTAGATACATTTTTTAAAAAAAAGACAATTGTTTATTAATGTTTTTCATGTTGTTGTCACGGTCCCAGGGTATGCGAGAGTCGGGGGTGAAAAATCTTTTATTGGACCAACTTCTGTTCATGAAACAGACAAGTTTTTACACTCCCCAGAGCTCTTTTTGAGGTCAGAAAAATACCTAAAGAAGAGTTTTGTGGAGCTCAAAAGCTGCTCTCTCATCAGAGAAGTAGCTCTAATAGAAGTTACTTCAGCTGCCTTGTCTCTCTAAATTTATGCATTTATCAAAATGAATTCAGTTGTGGTAAGTGCCAGATCTGAGAGCATAGGAGAATGAAATCCTCTACCTGCACAATGCAGTGCAAATTTCACTCACCAGCCGTGAGACTCAACCATGTCTCTTGCCTGGACCGCCCCAAAGATAAGAGGTGTACTCAAGCTCCATGGTTCATTCAATACTTGGCCTCTTTGCTACCAATAAAGATGTCAATTAGTAACAATGCTGATGGCAGTTTTGTCTGTTAGGAGGTGGACTGAAACTACCAATTTATTTCTCAGAGGCCATCAACCAGCTCTCAGGTGGTCATGTCTTTTGGTCATTTACGACTCAGGAAAGACTGGTGACCTAGAGATTAAAGACTCTGTATTCCAGGCTGAAGTGTTCAGCCTCCCTTCAAACCATCATTGTTACAGTCATGGTAAATTAGCATATGACTTATGAATATTACTAAACTATATCTTGCAAATGAGTGCTCTTACCCATTCAGCTTCATCATCATCTCCACAATCTCCAAAACAGGAGCTAGCCAGTCCATCCTGAGAACCCGTCTTTAGAACCCGAATTCCCTGCAAGTCCATCCGACGACCTTTCACCTCCAGTGCCCCCTCAAAGGCTTCAAGAGACCAGGAATTTTCAAACTCGTCTACCAAGGCCAACATCTCTTCAGACATCTGAGCATCTCCCAAACTCTCCATCCCTTCTGAGTCATTGCTTTCTGCAACAACTGTGTCTGAAATGAAATGTCAATAAATGTCACCAAAATTATTTCTGTTACAATAGTATCCAAAGGCAGTACAAAGGGATATGCCTAAAGTCTTCTACCTGTAAAATATGATGCAGACCATCTAAGACCTTTCATTAAAAAAAAAGTAAACACCAAGCAAGGAACTTCCTACAATTAAAAAAAAAAAAAACCCCAAACAAACAAACAAAAAAATATCACAGTTTCCACTTTTTGAGAGCCGGAAAACTGATTTTCTTCAACACACCCTGGCTTGTTAAAGTTCTTCAAAACTGTTGAGTTGCATGGTTTGATTTGTTATTATAGGGCTGCTCATGAAAGCTGGATTGACGACAATATTTTGTTTTAATAAATAGAACTGAAATATTTCATTTGAATGAATCCCCTTCCTCACCATGAACACACGCATGCACACAAATGACTCTGAAAAGTGACATAAGCAAACAAGTCTTAGGTGAAATTTAGACCTTACCATGACCATGGCAGTTGTACTCTCAGTACCAACTGCTGTTTTATTTTTTCAGAATCAGAAGTATTGAATAGGAAGATCACTGCTCGCTCACTGTGCATCACAAATGGTCAGAAGCTATTGGAAAGTCTTTAGGAAAATATAGGTCTTTGCATAATGATGCTTCATCAATTGCTGATTCAAAAGTGGACAACTCTAGATCAATTCTCATTCTTCTTCTCCCTGTCCATGACAATTGTCTTTGTTTCAGTGGGAAGATAGACAGCTGCTTCTCTGTAGCTTTCTGAGCTTGAGCACTGAGGACGTGGCTACACTTGCAGATGTAGAGCGCTGGGAGTTAAACCAGCCTTCGGAGACTGCAGCAGGGAAAACGCTGCCGTGTGTTTACACTGTCAGCTGCAAGCGCACTGGTGCAGCCACATTAGCAGCTCTTGCAACGCCACAAAGAGCAGTCCATTGTGGTAGCTATCCCAGTGTACAAGTGGCTGCAACATGCTTTTCAAATGGGGGGGAGAGGGGGGCGGGGAGTGTGACAGGGAGTGTGTTGTGTGTATGTTGGGGGACAGACTGTGTTTTGGGGGGCAGAGAGTGTGTCAGCATGCTGTCTTGTAAATTCAGACAGTTGCAGCCCCCCCCGGCATTCCATAGTAATTTGCTTTGTCCTGCAGCAGATAAGCATGCCGCCTGTCAGAAAGGGAGCTTTCAAAGGGGATATCCCAGGGGTTCTCAAACTGGGGGTCGGGACCCCTCAGGGGGTTGTGAGGTTATTACATGGGGAGGGGGGGGTTGCAAGCTGTCAGCCTCCACCCCAAACCCTGATTTGCCTCCAGCATTTATAATGGTGTTAAATATATAAAAAAGTGTTTTTAATGTATAATGGGGGGTTGCACTCAGAGGCTTGCTGTGTGAAAGGGGTCACCAATACAAAAGACTGAGAACCTGTGGGATATCTGCATGCCTGCAGCAGAGTTGAGAGAGTGAGTAGAGTGGCCACTTTACTTCAGGGGATTATGGGATGTTTCCGGAGGCCAATCACAGTGCAGTAATGCAATGCGTCATCCACACTGACGCCCGGGCGTTTCAGCCGGGGGCGCATCAAACTTTATGCTTCTCGTGGAGGTGGATTACCAGGAGTGCTCCAGCTGCAGAGTCCAGGCACTCTAAGTGCCTTGCTAGTGTGGACACCTCAGGAGTTAGGGCGCCCGTGGCTGATTTAATGTGCTCTAACTTGCAAGCGTAGCCAAGCCCTGACATGGAGTAAAACTCTCCATGTCCTGATCTTACCTCTCGAATTACTAAGGTGAGAATGAGATGGCTATACAAATGAACATAGTGTGTTCTAGGAAATAGTATCCTTAAATCTAGACCATACTCTACTCTCTGGGCTTTTACTTGGACCCTAATACTTTTTTCTGTTAGGCTTGAGGAAGAAGAGTGGGGAACAGAATAGGATCAGCTTTAAAGGTTACTTGTTTCTCTTCCTCTCTCTCCCTGGATTAAGGAGACGAAATAAGGAGTTTTCAAGTGCGACAGAGTGAAACTTATCAAGATCCATTTCAGCAGTTTACCTCATTACTATTGTGTTTCACTAGGGAAAGTAAAAGGGAGGAAAACTCACCAGGATTGCTGTCTGAGGAGTTCAAAATCTGAAGCGTGTTAAATATTAATGCACACAATTCTCTGACTCTTATGTCATGCAGGGGATTGCTTTAAGGCCTTCTACAGTACACCCCTAGTAAAACTCACATTAAAGAGGCAGAATGTGTCAAAGATGCTTCACACACTATTTTAAAAACTTTATAACGTCTTAAAGGTTTCATTATTATTTCACTTTGGGAGGAGCAGCAATTCGAGAAACAAGTCATGTTCCAGTAAATGAGAGTATTGTACACAGCCTGTGTTTTTGCCCACACAAACTAAAAGAAACAGGGAAGTGAAAGGTAAAAGAAACTCGGTCATAGCCTTGGCTGCAGCACCTTTAATTTGTCTGCTATTTGGGAAGGACTTGAAAGATCATAAAAGAAATCAACTGAATTAAGAAATAGCCTTTCTTCTGTCTTGTCATAAGTGTTTCATCCTTGTGGCAAGCAAAACTGGAGAGCATATCTATAGGAAGGAAAACAGCTCTTCCGAAAAGGAAGCTCGGCTTGAAGTGTAGAAAGTGGCTCATTGTCCAAGCATGCACTGAAATTCTAAGGATGACTTACTTTCCAGTCTCAGGGAGGAAGGGTCTCCTGTTGAACTCTGAACAAAGGCTTCTGGATCTTCTTCTATATCTCCCTCAGAGTTTTCTTCCTCAGCTGTTATTACAGACTCTTGGGGGTCACCGAAGTACTTCTGCTTGTCATGGCTGCCATCATGGTTTCTCTCATGACAGGGGCCTGTAAAAAACAGAGAAAGAGACACACACATTATAAATCACCTTCCTCTGGACACATCTAATACAAACCCTAAATTATTAAGGTGCAGAAGCAACACTCTAGAAATGACATTCCACCCCTTTCCTTCTTCTCCTACATAATAAGCCTATCCTACAAGGTACCGAGGATCCTCAACTCGGTGAGATTTTAGTGGTAGTGCAGAGTGCTAAGCACTTTGCTAGATCAGGCCACTAAAAGTTCAGAATACAAGGATCTCAGATGCTTAATCTACTCTGATTTTCTCTTTCATTAGTAGCCCAGTTTCTTCTCCTGGAAGATTACTGGAGCAACTAGTACCTGGGAAAAAAAACACTGGGTGCTAACTGGGATGTATATTTCTGAAGCACGATTTAGTCACATTATAACCTAAGCCAAAATCATAAATTCATTGAAATTTAACTCAAAATTCAGAACTCCTTGGTGTCAGCATACAGATTTGGAAGCCCAGAACCCATTGAAGACATAAAAAGGACTACACAAGATGTCTGGGAGAAATTTCACAAAAATCAGACCCAGAAGGAAAGACAGTAATGAGCATAGACAGAGCAATGTATCCATTTATCCTGCATTATGACTACACTCCTCTCTTGACATTCTTAGGTAAAACCTCAGGGTAAACAAGTGATGTGACTAAATCTTAACAGAGTCTGAAAAACAGCCTGAAATAAGAAGTAGCCACTTAAGAATCTAACCACAAACTCGTAACATTTTCAATCTCTAAAGTACATTTCAACTGCAGATCTCAAATGCTTTATCAGTGTTAATAAACAGTAAATCTCAATGTTCCTACCTTATGCACTTATATGACCCTCATCACAGTAGTATCTGAGCACCCAGTAAATTTTATTTATCAATGTAAGGAATCAAATGCCCACCCCTCACAAAACCCCAGTGAGGGACGGAAGTGCTATTATCACCATTTCACAGCTGGGGAACTGAGGCACAGAGAGACTAAATGACAAAGGAAATCTGCATTGGAATAGGGAACTGAGCCCAGGTATTCACAGTTTCAGACTAGTGTCCTAACCACTGGACCTTCCTTCTTGTCTCCTGTGAGTGAGGTAAGGATTATTGCATTCTGTTTCCAGATGAACATACTTAGAGATGAAGTAGTGAATCAGTGGCAGAGTTGGAAATAAAATGCAGGAGTCCTGAGGCTCAGTCCCCAACTCTGTCCTCAAAGATGCTAGTCACATTGCTTACTGCATTATGGAAAGTGTGCCAATTCCACAGTGATGGGTGTGGTAATAAGCTCCTGAATAGATGAGTCGTTTTCAACCTTTTGCACACAGTTTTAGGATCTCCTTCCGACAAAGACAGACACACAGAGAAAGGGAGGATGGTTGTGACTTCCAGACTGAAAAACCATGGAACAGATCATGCTGTCTCCAAAGCTTATTCTTTGATACTGGAACTTTAGAATTTCTCTGTCTTTGTGAAAAAATCCAGTTGGAATTGTGGGTTATCAGAACCTCTGAAAAATCAGCTCACACATTTTTACTGGGGAGGCACCAAAAAAACAAACAAAACAAACAAAAAAAATACGTTAGATCTTTAAGCCTCCTAGTGACAGTAAATATTTACTTCTCTTTAGCTTTTCAGCTGTATATTGAGATGCTGGCTAAACTAAATTTTTTGAAATGGGTGAATGATGAAACAAAATGGAGAAAGTAAACGTTATGAACTGTTTTAACATCTGCCATACAATTAAATTCTTTCTGATTTTCACACTTTACTTCTTTCACCAGTCATTGTATCTTTGCCTTTTTCCCCTTCTACTCTCCACGCCTTCAATGAATATTTAATTTGTTTCATCTTTTTAAATCTCTGCAATACGCAGAGAGCTTCATATGTAATTTATAAGAAATGGTGTGCACAGGATCCCAAAGCTGAAATTAGTCCTTCTGGCTGACATCAACACCAGACTGACTTTGATGCAAGTCAGGTGCATTCTAAGACTATGATGCCCTTCAGCGGAGGGAACCTTGGTCAACTTAGCATTCTGATGAAGAAGAAGAAAGTAGAAGAGACGGAGGTACAGACAGGTTTTTTTTTAAAAACTACTATTTTAAAATTAAAAAAACTTGGAATAGCAAGGGAAAAATACTAAGACATTTAAAAGAATTACTTAAGACTAGCATCGTTAATATTAATTTACAAACACTGACAGCTAAAAACAGACTGCATGAGAGAGTTGGTTTCTTGGGATCAGAAGTGCTGCTATATATAGAAAGCCAAGTGGCCTAATTTTTTTTAATTACTGCTTCCAGTTGCCTGGCATCACTGGAGAAGAGAGAAGCTAGTTGAAGCCAAAAATCTTTGCAGAATGGATCAAGTTATTGATGCTAGTGAAAAGTCTCAAGTTAGAACTTTAAATCCTCTGTGCCCAATGATAGGTGCCAGAAGAATAACTGGAGAACATGGGGTTAGAAGGATGGACTAAAAGGTTGTAACATAGCCCAGAAGCACGTGACCATTCACGGGCTGTAGACTTTTATTATTAATTATTTGTGTTACTATAAGATCTAGGAGCCCCAGTCACAGATCAGAACTCCATTGCATCAGGCACTGTACAGACAGATTAAAAAGAGTTCCTGACCAAAACCCAGGTGAACATTTCCAACCTCTCTTGTATTCTTGTTTCCCAGTTGATCAGCAGTAGAGTTCTGTGTGTAGAGCTACTGCTGATGAAGCTAAGACAGAACACAGGGGATTCTATTCTACCTTGTGCAATACCAACAGAATAGTTTACTAAGTTCCAGTCAGTTGCATCTGTGTTACACTGACAATAAAGAGGTTGCATAGGTGACATTAGGTCGTTATTTGGCCTGCAAGGCCTTTATTATAGGATTTGATGTAAGAGAAGGGGGAAAAAAAAGCCCGGATTGATTCTTCAAGTCATGCTAACTTTGCAGAGCTAGAAATTGGAGGGTTAGGGGGAAACTCTTTACCTATAAAGTGAGTCCATTTAATGGGAAAATCAGCGACACATTAAGAACCCTCAACGACATACTTTGAAAGTCACTTGTGAGTAGGAATGCATATCAATTGCATTGTTGTACTGTCAACTGCCACATCTGTGTTTACTTTCCTTCCATCCCCGTAATTCATTGTTAGGCTGTGGGCATCCAATGATGAACACTAGGCTAGCAATAATTATGGCTGTTGCTTATACCATTTCCCTGATTAGTGTGGAAAGAGTTTCCCTTCTCATTCCCCACCCCTTGCCCCCAGGGTATCATATTATAAAATACATGGTTATGGCATGTTTTTTCCAGATGAAAGTCTCAACTCACCAGATAAATGGTGCTAGAAACCACCATGTGTAATCATGGTTGACACTAGCATGGTTTCAAATACTAAACAGAACAGGTACATTTCATTTGAATTAATAGAACTGCAGTATGCAAATACACTAAAGAAAGAAGGTATCTAACTAGGAACTTACATGCCCCCATTACCATAGTATGAATACCTGATTGACTGGGAGACCCTGAAGTCAGGGCCACCACTAAATGAGCCAAGCTGTTTGTAGGGCAGCAGCACAGAATGCATACAGGAGTACCACAAAGAAAGGGAAAGGATCAGAGATATTAGAATGTCCTCTTTTAATTGATCTGTAAGGCCCTCTCCTCCATCTATTCACTCCTAAACTTTTCCCGTCATGTCAAAAGGGGATAGGTGGCATTTAGTAAGAAATATATGAAGTATCAAAACAATGAAACTCCCTATACCATTTTACATTGCAATTACTTTGGGGACAACTGTGCTTGTGTTTGTAGAGTACCTACTACAATGCAGTCCTGATCCTGATTGGGGCCTCTGGGTATTACTGTAATAAAAATTTTAAACAATAGGGAGAAGACCCGTTAGATCCTCCATTCTACTTAGCACAAGGAGATAAACTGCACTGGGAAGGAAGGAAAAGAGCAGTACAGCAACAAAGGGGAAAATGGGGAAGGATGATTTCAGCCTCTAGCAGCAATTGGAATGCACATTTGTGCATGTGTGGTGATAGAAAAAGGGTAGTGAGCAGGAGAAGAGGAGGAGTTGAGAGAGGGCAAGCACTGATCATCCCATCCTGGGAAGAGCTAAGAGTTGTATGTGTATTAGACGCTACGCATGGCTCATGAGGTGCCTCATGGTCTCAGACAACATCCGACGGTCCAGGGACATCTACATCGAACACGTCACCGGCCACTGACAGTACCAGGAGGTGTGAGCCGGAATGACATCGTGCTTCGACTACAAGAAAGAGACTGAGAGACTTTGTCCATTGGACCATATGAACTGGAACCATAATCTCACTGAACGTTAAATCTCATCAAATGAGGGTCAATCCAGCCTCATCATCGTATCCACTCATTATATACTCCACACCTGAACATAGCCGTTATATGAACAACATACCCTCATATCTCAATGTCTGTACTTTGACCTGTCAACCTTTTACCCCCAATCAGGAATACTGAATGCATCCAATGAAGTGAGCTGTAGCTCATGAAAGCTTATGCTTAAATAAATTTGTTAGTCTGCCACAAGTACTCCTTTTCTTATTACAGACTATGTCTTCCTTATGCCATCCGATCCTAAACCAAACTTCGCACCCTTGATAACCTGTACGTTATTCCCTGATAACAAGAAACTTTTATGCTTCAAATCTGTGCCATTCACTTTTTAAAACCATCATCTTAATAAAATTTTTAAACTGCAACTCAAGTAACCAGGCTTCTCTTTGAAGACAAAAATCATATTTGGGGAAAAATATCCATCTCTTATTTGTTAAGTCAAAAACTTTTTTGTGAACAGCATAGAATCAAACACAGAGTCCCTGCCCCAAAGAACTTGTATGCAGAAAAGACTGGATGCCTGGGAAATTGCAGAGGTTTTCATTAATTATTACTGTTGGCTTATGCCTTGTGAGTCTCATGGAAGCAGCGTGTCCAGAAGGGACTCAACCA